TAACATTGAAAATTATTATTCAGGTACCATTACTGGAGGGAATAAAAAAATCATACATAATGTTTTGGGAAGTAGAGTAGATATGGATTTGGGGGGCTTAGATTGTGGACTTTGAGCCAGAAAATTATTTTCTAAAAAGTTACTTTCTAAGAAATAGTATGGTAACATATTATATAGGAACGCCATATAGTTTCAGAACAACCTAATCGGAATAGCACTTATATACCACTTCACAGATCTTTACAGCCCTCTCTAATTGGTTTACAGTATCAGCATATGATATTACTGACATATTATCCGAACAATCTGGGTTTCATTTTACCGACCTCAGAAGGATGGAAGGCTGAATCAAACTTGAGCTGATGAGACTCAAACTACCAAACTGCTGGCAGCCGCCAGTCAGCAGAAGTAGCTTCTAGTACTGCATTCTAACCACTGNTCTGTAGGACATTATCATGAAAATTTCCCTGGCGCTAATTTCACTTAGGTTAATTCTTATTTTTAAAAAATTATTCTCCACTTCTACTTTTTTTTTGGGGGGGGGGGAAATCATCCAAATGGAATTTATAAGCTGATGATTTTGCTGTTGACTTTTAAAAACCTGTCTGAATTGCAGTTTATTATCTTATATAAAAGCATGAATCAATCGGTATGTACCTAAGCTGTACAACACCTCAAATTGCAAACAGCCTTTACTTTTACTCATACTTCCTTTTCAGTTCAAATCAGTTTTAATTATTATTTTTCTATGTTGAAATATTTTAACCACTCTTTATTTCTTTTTCATGGTTATCTTGAGCACATTGAGCACCTCTGGGCAGGTCATAAATTATAATAAATATTTGCAAGCACAGTTTTACAGCACAATTTTATCCTGGGCATATTGGCTATTTATTTGGATGAGCACATGTATATTATTCAAGGAATTAGACTGGCTTATAGTATAACCCTGTTGACATTCATGGGATAGGGTAGATAAGAAATCATCATCCAAATAACAGGAACTGCCAAGTGAGTAGCAGTGCAATACAACATAACAGTACCTCCTCCACCACCCCAAAATGATAACTAATGATAATCTTAAACCTACAACATAAATTTTAAAGAAGTTTCATTTATTGATGGGTCTTTGGTGCTCTCTGAGCTTTGTTGTTTTCTTGCAGATGGTTCATTGCCCAAACTAGGTAGAATCATCAGAACTAAATGTCTATGAAGAGTCTCAGTTATCAGAATGAAGGAATGTTGTCATTCGATACATTGAAGGGATATTGAAAAAGCTCAGGAATATCTTCAGCTAACACAACATAAGTGCACCAAAACCCAAAAATACACTAAAGCAGAAGCTTGTCCACCCCAAGAATAAAACACCCAGATACAAACTGAGCAACATTTTTTCATTTCATTTTCATTTATTGAACATTTATAGGCCGCCCTTTTCCCTGAGGGGACTCAGGGCGGCTTACAACAATGGGGGGAAGGGGGTGCAGGACAAGACATAAGAGATAAACGTGAGTAAAAAAAAAATTAACCATAAAACACAACATTTACTCAGCATTCGGGCGGGGTGAGAATAAATCCTATCCCCAGGCCT